CAGAAAATGCAGTTTAGTATCGTGTCTTTCAGTATGTTATGCAATTTATAAAGCCTAAACCTATGTTTTTTTTCGAGGAAAGCAAGTAAGACACCTTCTTACATGCTTTAAATGCTGAAGAGATTTGTGTTCAAATTAATCTAAATAACACCATAAACCTCTAATCGTGAAAATAGTGTGATAAAACTTTATCTTGAAAAACATTTTTAAAAACCACATATCCCCAAAATAAGTGTTGTTGCATAAAGGATGCCATTGATGTGTGAGAGGATTTTAGAAACACTGTCTAACTGTTAAGTAATTGAAGATTAAAGTTCCCCCTAAAGGCTGTTTTTCTCTTAAGCGTTGCATTATCACCATAAGGAGACCATTGATGTGTGATGTGATTTTGGAGACACTCTGTATAACAGTGAACTTAATGAATATTAAAATTCAAATTGTGGAAATGCATTTTTTTTCTGTATATAAGTGTTGTAGCATAAACAGAAGGAGACCATTGATGCGTGGGATGATATTGGAGACACTACAGCTTTTAACAGTTAAGCTATTGAAGATTAAAATTCCCCCAAACAACACAAAAGCTTATTTCTCTCAATAAGTATTGTAGTATAACCAACAGTGGTTATACTTATACTTTGATTTGACAGTACTACAGCTTATAACAGTGAAGTTATTGTAGATTATAATTCCCCAAAATTATGCAAAACTATATTTCTACAAACTACGTGTTGTAGTATCACCAGCAGGATATCATTGATGTGGGAGGTGATATTGGAGACACAACAGCTTATAACAGTGAAGTTACTGAATTCGATTGAATATTAAAATTCCCCCAAATTATGCAAAGATATATTTCTACAAACTAAGTGTTGTATCATCAACACAAGATCACTGATGCATGGGGTGATATTGGAGACACTACATCTTATAACTATTACTATAAAAATAGACCTACCTACTATGCAAAAGTATCCCCCCCCCCCCAAACTAAGTGTTGTAGTATAACCAGCAGTGTATCATTAATGTGCAAGGTGATTTTGGGGGCACTACATTATATAAGTGTGAGTTTTTGAATATTTCTCCAGTATGTGTTTTCGGCGTTGCATTTTGTAGACGGTCCCTGCGCACTCGTCTCTCAGCCGGCTGCACGTAGAGGCCAATGTTATTTGTGCCGCTTGTTGGACGACTCATTTAGGTGAAAATGTACTTGTAGCTGGTTGTCTACTTAACTACAATAGTAAAGAGGCGTCGTATGCGTTTTAAACACGAGTTATTGATTCCGGAAGTTCGAATCTGTGAATATATTTCTAACTTTACCGAACTCGGCCAGTTTAGCTGTCTTGTTCTGGGTGGAGCAGGGCGTAGGTAGGTTTACTTTTGTGAAAACCACCCGTAAACTGGCCCCATCCGTTACTCGGTTATATCCCTGCGCAAACCTTTACGGAACACACCCATGGGGGAAAAGTAAAACGTTTTGTGAAGCAACACTAAAGGGCGTAGGTGTGGTCTCAACATTGGACTAGGGAACTGAAGGCGAATGAATAAATGTAAATGTACTTGTTTCAATATCAAATAATTTAACAAGAACATCAGCAGGAGTTCCTTCCAACAGCAACACTTTGTCACTCACAACACAATTACCTAAAAAACACTAACGACAGATAGTAGATATTACAGTAGATGCATCAATTTATTATCTTTGAAGTAGTAAATAATTTTGTGTTCTTTATTTTGCTTTATACATATATATATATATATATACACAGTAAATAAAGTTCCCATTATGAAATACAGTAAGAATGGTAAGTCTTTATAGAATGGACAACAGCATGCAACATGAAGTTATCAAAATGCAAGAGGAAATCAGGAAAAGCTTCACTGTACTTTATCTTTGCCATCTAGTAACTCAAAAATAAACTACAGCTAATTAAAATTGCAAGGAAAACAAAAGTCAGCTCTGTAATTGTTTGCTCAAAAAACAAAACAATGTTAGTTCATCTGTGTAGCAGCACTCCGTCAAAGGATATAGCTGCACACATGGTAACATTGGCACCCCTTTGGCCTGGGACACCCACTTTAGCTCTTTTGCCAATCAAATTCCGTCCTCACCAGCGTGTTTTGGCCAAGTTGACGTAGAAAAAAACATGGTGTGTGTGATGGGCTTCCACCTCCATGACTCTCTAAAAGAAATCCCCCCTGTGGGGGTTAGTCGTTGGGTCCTAAAGAAGAAATAGAAGAATTACAGACAAGAAGTAGATTTTAATTTTGGTAATATGCAGTTATACCTTTTCAGAATACATATTTTACCTGTTGGTTCACTGGAAGATTCTGACAATTGATGCCACCGTTGAGTGGGCCACATTTGGCTGCTCTCTGAGTCTCTTTCAATGATAGCCCATGGCTGATTACATGGCTACCACAGTAGCGCTAATGTCATCAGAGACTACAGCTGTTGGTCATCTCTGCTGTTGTCTTACACCACCACTCATGCAGAATCCTCTTCCTCTCCATACCACTCTTTCTCTTCTGTCTCTTGGAGGCTCCATTTTGAAGTGGAGGTGTAACAAAACATTTCAAAGATGTCTCCTTTTTATAGGTGGTAATGAGATCACTTGATGAAATGACCAGGCTTTTGATTGCATTTCAGTGGGGTTTGTAATTTGCTGCCCATTTGAATATAAGTAAGGTTTTGAACTTAAATTTAACAGTTTTGAAAAGACTATTTAAGCATTTGCTAAACTGGCTATGGATACACATGGCTTTTCTGGTGGTTTACTTTGAGTGAGAAAATAATTCTTGAATTTTGAAAGCTGTGGTCATTGAATGTCTTTTCTGTTAAATCAGTGCATTTTGTATTACAGCAAGGCAAGAGGCAGTCTCAGTTTGGTCCACATAGACTTCTGATGTGAAGAGTTTTGAAAAAGTGAACACATTATTGAAAAATGCTTGTTAGCAATTGTAAAATTGCACTATGGTTTTGCACCAAAATGAGCGTTTAAGTTAATAAGAATCCTGAATCAACCAACAAATCCAATGACAGTGGACATGATGGTTTGCACAACTCTCCACATTAGGCATGTGAGAACAACACAAGCAGCTCTTACTGTCTGACAGTCACAAGCTGATTGTGTAAGGTTTACAATGTGCTTTTTTTAGCCTTCACTTCCATGTATGACGGGTTTGGTGTTTTTAGGGTAAGTTTAGTTCTCAGTTTAACAATTAATCAGCAATGTATAAATATGTTAAATATCTTAGCTTTTATAATAATGGAGTAATCATTGATTATATTAATAATTCATCAATAACAATAATGCTACAAAACACTGAAGCATTGATACAATGCATGTTAGGTGCTCTTCATCATAACAAGGTGTCCATGAAACTGTAATGAGGTCATGCAGCCCTGATGTGTTCCTTGGAGTCCTGCTATTGGCCGATTCAGTGCTTGAGGAACGGCCTGCAGACATGATGGTAGTCCTCATCTTTCAACACTGAGGCACCACTGCAGTCAGTACTGAAGGATCACACTTAAACTTTGCAAAAAGTAATTTTCAGCTTCTTTTTTTTTTTTTTTTTTTTACAGACCTAGTCTAAGTCACCTACACCTAAGTCCTACTCTTCACTAACTTAACTGTTTAGGACCATTGTTACAACCATTTCTTAGTAGATTTATATCCTACATACCGAACCTGGTGCTATACAAAATAGTGCCCTCATAGGAGCCCCCATGTTCAGGAAAAAAACACACTTTTGGATGCCCCTATGGTAAATAAACATGATAAAGTGCACTTTATGATGGCCCACTGTGCAAAGAAATGTGATAAATTGCCCGGTGCCGTATATGCAGTGCCTCCAATTGGTTATTGAGTTAATAGTTCTCTGTGTGTTTTTATAACAAAGATGTAGATGTTATAGAATACTTGAAATCTGAGTCACATAATAAAACAATTTTAATCTTCACCAGGGTTTGGAACTATTTCACTATAAATGTGTCACAATTTTCTGTGCGCTGGTGCAACACCGCATGCAGCTGGTGCCCTTTTTATTTTTCCCTCCACAAAAGCACTTTTTCAAGCTTTTCAGTGCCTTTAACCAACAACATAAATTCAAACAATTACAACATGAACATTTCTCCAGCCGTAAATAAGTTGCATCTGTAAGCGTATGTATGCAACAATAATCAATCACTGTGAAGGGAGCCCATTCTTACTTTTATTTTTTATAGTTTAGCCAATTTTACTGCAGATATCTTCAAATTATAAAATGTAGACTATTTGGTTGGTTTTTTTTGCATTATTTTTTTTGTCAATTTGTAGTGTCAATACGTTTTCTTAATTTTTTGTTTATAGGTGTCTAGTGTTAATGTAGTTGTTGATGTTGACACAAAGATTAGGTTCAGATTGAATTTGATAGCCTTGACTACATTACATTCATTCAATAATTTCAATTTTATTATGTTATTTCCACTCTGCTGCAGCTTATTTCTGGGATTTAATACAATCCAATGAGGCAATTGATTATTTTCCAAGTATAGTTAGACATACTTAAATATAATGCAGATAAATATTTGTATCACATATAAAATGCCAGAATTTTACATTGATTTTATGGCCTACTGCCTGGGGCAGGTTCTCAAAGCCACAAGAATAGCTTAAAACAAATAAAAATATCACATCTAATTTCTCATAATGGAATGATAAAAGCAGATACGTTGATATATTAAGCTGAAAGGCACATGATAAGCATTTGTATCAACCATAATAGTATAAGTAGCTGGTAACAGTGGCTTAAATTGCTTAAAGTGTTTTGATCTCCATGAGTGTTGAAGTCACTTTGACTTCAGTTTGAGTCCCCAGTCACTAAAATCTGCTATACAGACTCACTTTCGGTCTTCACTGTAACATCATCTCTCTGACATGCATTTATAATCCATATTATACAGATATCCTGATTACTGCAGTTCACTCTCAAAACACAGTTGCAATTGAAGAATTACCGAATACAGCTACAAAGTGAGCTTTATTCTTAATTACCTGAGAAAAACCTGCATTTAAAAAAATGACCTCAATACCTTAAGCATTTGTGGGAAAAGACTTAAATTGATTTGTCTTGGTATAAGTCCTAACCTCCACTGATTCGCTTTCAACTACAAACAATACACAAGTTATCAAGACTTGACTGAAAAGAAACTATTAATATATTATTAGCCTCAAACTTCTATGATCATACGGCATTTGTGTGCGTAATTATATTGACAGAAAGAGGATATCCCACACTTATGATAAGTCTGGTCATGTGTCAACATAGTGTGAATGACGTATTGTTTCTACAGGCTCCATGGTATTTATCCCGTGCACTGATCACCAGAAATTTGCAGATTTGCGAGAACTTAATGTTTAATGTGCATATAACACACAGTCCAGTCAAGGACTGCGTTCCAGCTTGTCACGAAGCACAATGCTGAATTCTACTCACTTGCTTGAATGTTCAATCTACTCCTTTCAGAAAGTTGAGTTTCTCAGATATATAAACGTCACAGAAAGTTGTATCTGAACTGAGAGGTGCAGAGGAAAAGATCAGTCCTTTCAGCTCAAACTCTGGATCAGGGTCAGAGGAGAGACAATCAAAGCTGATTGAAAGAGTTGGAGTGGCTCCCTGCCCTCCTAGAGGTGCAACCTAGAGAGAGAAAATAATCAAATAAACAAGGTAAATGGGTGTGTTAATGAAACAGTGATGTTAAATTCAATGTGTGAAACGACTCTGCCTTTAAAGGGCCAAATTCAGTCTTAAAATGAATATTCTCTTGTTTGTTCAGATACTTATGAGATATTTATGCCAGTAGGCTTTGATTCCCCTCCATTTCATGCATTCAGAGGGAATTCTGTGTTTGTGTGTTTACCTCAGGCTGTGGGGGGTTCTCGTAGATATTCACTATGTTGTACACCTGTAAGGAAAAGAAATGCACACAAGTCAGCCTGAGTCAGAAAATCAAGTGGGTATTTTCCAAACTTTTTGGTATCTGTCCAGGGAACCATAATGAGGGGTCCTAAAAAAGGAGGCAACTTTGTAAGATATCCACTTTATCTGACTAACGCAGACTAACTAAAATACAGTAACTAAATTTCACCTTTCACTTAACACAGTATGTTTTCCTCACAGTATGTTTTCCTCACGTCTCCCCCGTGGCCCCTTAGGAAAAGCGCCTCACAGTTTGAAAACTTATAACACCTACCAAGGACCCAAGGGAGTTAATTTCAGGTTCTCCAGAATTAAGAAGATCCATTGGCTGATCAGAGTAATCTGCAGCAGAGCAGCTTGAGTCTGCAGGTTGATTCTCACCCTGTAATTGGAACGAGGATATTTAAGTAATTGCAGCACCTATCATAAGCAGTTGTACTGGATGCACATTTGAGGAAGTACTTACATGGGAATACACAGCAGGTGCTGCCACCGTCTGGGCTCTTTTAGAGCTCCGTTTACAGCAACAACAGCACTTCTTCAAGCAGTAACAGCAGGCACTCACAGCTAAGACTACCCCGAAAATAGTACCAGTAAAAACATTTGAAAAAGTAGATTCTGTAAAATCAGAATAGGAGCAGAGGTTCGGGGAGGATCATCAGTCACAGTTTGTTCATACACTTTTAGTCCTGTAAGAAAAGATGTGCTGTTGCTCACCCTGCTTTACAACCACCTTCACAGTCTGGGCCAGGTTGCCTTGCGGGTCTCTGAACTCAAAGGTACCAGAATCTGTGCCTGTAATGGGATTAATCTCTATGCCATCAGGTACGACCCGAATCCTCCCTGAAAAATGCCATGGCTTTACACTTGTGTCATCTTCTGTGACCAGATTGCCTGCTGTCATCACTGTTTGGGGTCCCATTTCCTCCTTAGGCATAAAAGTCACATTCCACAAGGCAAAGTCCGCAGGATACTGCATGAGGAGTCGCTTATTCTCCTTTGGCTTATAGTATCTACTGTACTCTGTGTGTGATAAAGAGTAGAATGCATAAGAACATTTATTCAGATACACAGCAGCCTAAAAGCTCACATGCAGCTTTGAACATCACCTTTTACTATGAGCTGTATGGTAGACAGTATTGTGTCTTTTCCTCTGAAGCTGTAGAAGCCGTTGTCTGCTTGAGTGAGGTTCATAATCTTCCAGACATTACCCTTCACCTGTCCTCTGCCTCCCTTATTGGTCTGAGGGTCCGTGCGATTCCACCAGACCTTCGGCTGGTCCAGACTGTGAACTTGTGTGAACTCCAGGAATTCAGCCTGTCTAGGAACATCACAGTGTTACGTATCCCCGTAATGCCTCCTGATCCAGTCAGTACAATCTGAAACAGCACATGCAGAAAGAGGCAGTATAGACTTACTGTATTTAGGAATCCTGCACAAAGCTAATGGAAATATCTATGTCCATAAAGGTGTTCTGATTTTAAATATGCAGTATATAGCCAAATGTAATTTTCTCACCCCAAATCTTCAGTGTGATGACATTGTAAGGCCTATTGTCACCAAATGAGACAGAAAAGGTGCCACCATCTCTTTCTGTCATTGTGAAATTAACTGAATCTTTGAAAACTTGGAGGCGTGGGTCCTTCGTCTGAAAAGGTGGACAACACAAACACATTCACCCAGGACAGTCAAACAGATAGATTCTGTTCAGTCTCATTGCCATGAATGGATGTCATAGTGATTTTGCTGATAAATTATAGCCCCAGATGTTGCTCACCTCCCCTTTATCCATCACTAGCTTGCTGGATCCCCCATTGCTTGGACTGAAGTACAGCTTTCCAAGGAAAGCAGGTGGTGTATAATCAAATGGTAATCTAAAACTCCTGCCATAACACAGCTGTTCATACTTTACATCAGCGGCTGAACCTGTATTTAAAAGAGATGGATGAAATATTAAGGTAAGTCAGACACAAAACATCTGGGGACATGTGAACAACATACTGTAAGCAGCTTTAGTACATTTGATACCACAGGTAAGTGGTGGACCGACAGAGCGTCAGACAGACACTGCCTTCCCTAGAAATGATGGCAAAATGCCGGCATAGGTCAGGTGGAGTCTTAAAAACAGCTTCATGTTTTAGCCCAGCCACACCTGGCGCATAGCAGAATTCGCGCAAAAGTAGAATTGTTCTGAGGCATTGTTGTTAGGCCTTTGTAACACCAGACATTTTGACTTGTCATAGCAGGAAAAGCACAGGTGCTACAAATAACATTAACAACACCTCTGTTCTACTAAAGTGTCCCATGACAGTGTGTCTGTGCACCACTGTTTTGTTACAGCCTGCCGCTATTATCTATGTCAGATAACAAATAGATAAAGCTACAGAACATATCTTCACAATCCAGAAATATGTCTGTGAACGTTATGTAGAAACATCTTGAGGTTGCATTAAATATTCAAGCATAAGTTGAAAACAGTCACAGTTACAGTGGCCTTTTGGCCTATGCTATAATGGGTGAACCGTCCCTGTAAGAAATAATACAGGAAAATTTATCTCATAGTCTTTAGCCCCAACTGCCCCTGTCTTCACAGAACTATAGCCCATTTTTGAAATGACATGTGCAGACTATACATTATGAAAACATTCAACACAGCAGGAGGATGCTCTGCTTGATATTAGATCCTAATAATTTGAGGTCAGCAGCTGTTTGCACTCATTATGTCACAATTATAGCAACTAATTATTTTCTCATATTTAGAGACCCGCATACATGGACATTTTACCTCACCTCCTGTAGCATCCCAGGTCATTTCTTTATTGTGTTGTATTGATATGTGATTGTTATCTAATGATAGAGGCTGCTGTCGGTCATTTAAACGTTTCCACAGTAGGCTGAAGTCACGGCAAATATCGTGGGGGAAAAAACTGCAGTAATAATCTTGACAGGAAAGAGAGAGGAAACTCGGAATTAAAAGTTTAGCTGCTGATGCACATCTTCAGACGCGCTGACGGAGCTCAGCTCAGGATTGATCAGGAGGATGGCTGCTTTACTCCAAACAGTTTCGCTGTGTGAACCTGAACTGTGTAAGATCTTTTGGATGTGTAGAAGAACACAGAACATTAATTAATTAGATCCTGATTGATCCTGTCGGCGTGTCGGGAGATTGGGGAATGTGAAGTTATGCTGCTGTGCCTTGTGCGTAAATGCGCACAGCGTCTCTGTTAATGGGGAGACGCTTCATCCTACTTCACAAAGCCGCTATTCACAATGTTTTCACAATTTTTATGACCCTGCCTGCCCATCCACACATCACATTCAACAATAAAAAATCAGCAATATCAAAGAGAATTTTCATTAAGGAACTCTAACAGCGCTTTATGACGCGCTACACAAGCGCCCATTTGATCATCTTAAATAACAAATACAATTTATAAATACGATATGAACGCTTTAGAGTCCTGCTCCCGCCGTAATCTGCATATTTCAGCTGCATGTCACGCCTCTATTAAACGTCACGGCTGCACCGATGTACCGGTGTATCCTCGCTCATTGCTCCCCCGGCAAGCCTCCTCGCTCCTCGCGTCTGGAGGTGCATTTTAGGAATTGAGATTCAAGGTAGCGTGCTGAGATCAATTTCCGGGTCCCTGACAGGAGGGGCGAGGAGGCACAAAATAGTGAAATGAGAAAAAGTCCCTGGGTTAGACAACGTTGGAGAACGCCTCCGTTCAAAGCCACTTCCAAAAACACATTTTCATGCGCAGTGGGTGCACGGGCAGAGTGCACGCAGGTAGGCGAGAGGTATGTAAGTATGTAGACGGGCAGGTAGGCCGGCCATGTATACAGTCATGCAACAGCCACAGATTCCGGATTCTTTTCATTTTTGTGTCAGAGTATTTGATTTCTTGACTGCTGTCTGGATGTAAAGAGAATATAACAAAAAATGCTTTGAAATAAATTGCCAACCCCACCTTAGTAGCTCAGCTACAGCTTCTTCTCCACATGTATTCACAGAACATGTGAACATATTTCACACTATAGTTACAGCAGCCTATAGATTTAAAGGCAAATTACACACCTCACATATGCTATATGAAAAGACAAAAGTTGTATGTTAATGTTAAGTAAAGTTAAATGTTAGGTACTGTCAGATGGGTAAAACCTGCATCTTGTATCTCTTCTGTCACGTTGTATGACTTTACTCACCAAACAAGACGCAGGAAAAAGTAATGTACAACAATAACATAGTTCAAGTTGTCCTGTAGAGAGAAGAGAGGTTTTTATCATGTTAAGTGTTTTACGGTCACAATGATTTAAGAAGAAATACAACACTTAAAAATACAACTTACAGACAAGAGGTTGTCTACTCTCTGCAAAATAAGTTTTGTTATTTAAGTTTCCTCCTGTGGTCGGGTTACCACGTACAGTAAAACTGAATTGGGCGAGGCTTCCTACACACTCTGTTTGTATCGTAAATGCGCAATATGTGCGCAAACTGCGCATCTAGTGTACAATCTAGGCTATCAAGTGGTGTGGTGTATGACGCGTGTGTGGCCAAATGGTGGGTATGATGAAATGCACTCGAAAGAAAATAAATGTTTCTGTTTCACAAGATTAGGGTCAATTTCAGATTTTTCTTTAATGTTTGCTTTTTTTCTTGTGAATTCTAGATTATTTCACCTCTTCAGGCCGCCATAGAAATGTTTATAATCAAACGATGCAAAACGGCTAAATCTCTCCTTGGTTGAGTCCATACAGTAGTACATTAGGCTATTTTCAGTCATTCGCGAGAAGACATTGCATACTTTAATAAAACTGTGAGTGGCCTAAATTGCAAAGTCTCACTGAGATATGTTTAACAGATCAGCTGGTGAACATTAATGTTGAGTGCAGTTCACAGACGCCAGGTCACTTAATTCATATTGCAATATAGCTTTGCCGAGGCTTCTCTGCCCACCTTCGGAGGGATGTAAAGTGCCTGTTTAAGTTTCGCTGGTCTGTTGATTTTGAGCTTTAGTTAATTAAGTGATGTGAAACTAGAAATTTATATCCATAACTGATCATGACTATCAGACGTGCACTTAACTGTCCTGTGTGTGTGGATCCTTAATTAAGCATAATGTAACAACAATAGGTCACTGCAATATAAAACTCGCCTAGTCCATCACAAGTAAAAGTGCTGCATTGAAAATGTCACTTACATGAATATTATTAGTACATTTCTCCACCGGAAATGTTCATAAATGAGCAATTGTTCTCGTGTTTTTGTAAATTCCTGAGAACATTTCAGATTTAATATTCGTACACGGCCCAACAGGAGTATCCCTCTGTGCACTCTCTTGCGCTAATAGCGTGTTAATTCCCGAAAACCGGGGAAAAAATTAACGCAACATGTGACGCATGTTGCGCAGGAGCTGCTGAGAATACAGCGTCGTAAATAAAAGAAGGGGTCCAGTGCCCATGCGCGCTCTGCAGAGGACGTTCTTATCCTCTTATCCCATGCACATAAACACTGAAAAATATCCATCGATTGACTAACACTTCCCACATCCTGCAGGTGAGTTCTGACCAGATGCGTCGCAGACTATGTAATAATTTGTACATTATCACTAACTGATGGCCTGATGATCCGCTGTGTCGCTGTAAATGTTGCTCATCGGCTGGGAAACATATTGGACACCTGAGTGGACACGGCTGTAGACAGCAAATAGAGCGTCATGGATCAGGCTGTCACTACATTATTCTTTTTTGAATGTATTTTGTATGTGTCGCTCTGCACAAACATCACCTCAGCCGTCTTTGAGCTCCCCCTTGTGTGTCTTGTTGATTGATGGTCGCACGTCCTCGCAGGCTTGTTTTCGGATGGAGGGGTGGGGATGAATGACAATCTCGTGCGCCTCGCTGTCCCAGTAGATAAAACGGTTAGATAAAACAATCTGGTCTGTCTTCACAGGAGAAGATGCCCTACGCTGTCCTACTCACTGCCCTTTTTACCCTTCCTCTTGCCGTGGGTAAGTTTTTGACCATTAGTTTGGTACACTATTAAGACACTTATTTTTTGTTAATTGTGCCTAATGACTGAAATAACTGTTTAACTGTTTCAATTCATCACTTGCTAATGCTACATATTTAATTCATAAGCCGTTCCTAAAAACAATTGGTTCATTTGGTTTCTCTATTTTTGACTAGACATAGGCTACAATTTATATATTTATACACATGTAAATGAAATCACCGTTTAATCACTTTCTAAGAAATGCACAGCTAGCTACTAAGTCATGTAACATTGTTCATCCAAATGCAATTAGAAAAGTCATCAAAAAGGGTTCTGAACATTGTCTGTCAAGTCCGCAGTTGTAAATATTAATTTGTTGTTAATAAATGGATTATAGTCCAGATAATCGGTGTTTTAGTGCTTTACAAAGAAGCAGAACAAGCAAATAGAAAGGCAAATGCAAATAAAAACAAACAATGAGATCATCAGACACAGGTTATTAAGAAGTTTAAAAATTGCAAGGATGGAAAGGTAGAACTACAAGAAACATTAAGTATGCATAAAAGCTTTCTTATTAAAAAAAAAAAAAATCTGTTATTATTTCTTGGTGCCTGTTATAACCAGCTGCGTTATAGTGCATTGCCGTGGTCCAGGTGTTGTGTGTGTTTGTGCAAATCAACAGAAGACAAAAAACCTTCTTATCAAGATCTTCATCTGAAATGACACCAAGATTAGAAGATTTCTTTTCACACTGGGATGTCTTCGCAAAAACAATAATCTTGAAATAGAACTTGACTGAAACCAACCTGTATATTACACTTTTTCAGAACTCAGTTAGATACGTTCTTTAGGGGATATTTCAGTGCATGTGAGGTCTAAGCATTGTGCAGGAGAAGATAAATAATGATGAGATTGGTTCTACTCTCCTCACAGGTTGGGTCGTACTGGGTGAGTCAAACTCCAAATTTCATCACATATGATTCACCTACTAAACATATTCTCTGAAGAGCTTTCTCACTTTCTTTTCCACCTCGACAGGTGAAAGAGAGGAAGTCCAGAAGGTGTGTGCCGGGAAGGAATTTCGTCTGCCTGTGTACTCGACATCCAGGATGGTGACTTTCACACCACACCCTGAGGGACCGAGGCACGTCCTGCTGGACAGAACCATTGTGAGCGGAGGTCACTTGTGTTTTTGTTTGTTTGTTTGTTGCGTGTACCGATTTCCAAAACCTGTTTGCTGTCCAACTGCAGGTGAAGGACCCACGGTTTGAGTGGACCAGAGATAAGATGCTAGTCCTGAAAGAAGTGACTCACGGTGATGAGGGACTTTATGCCATCAAACTTTCCTCTGGATTCACCGATGAGACTGTTCGCTTGATTGTATCAGGTACGATAGTTTCCTCTCTTTATGAAATCCATCCATACTTTTTCCACAACACATTACCTTCCTCTTTTATTGGCTTAAAATTCATGTGAAAATACTCTATTACAAGTAAGTGATTTATTCAAAATACTACTGAAGTAAAAGTACAAAAGTATTATCAGCAAAATGTGCTTAAAGTATAAAAAGTAAAAGTATTTATTCCACAGAAAAATTACCTCGTTAGTAATTGATGTTATTATATTTTTTATTTTTAGATATTGATCAATATGTAAGCAGCATTTTACTGTTGTGGCTGGCTGAGGTGGATCTAGTTTTAACTACTTTATATGTAGTTAGGTAATTTAGTCCAGAAATATTGGATCATTTTGCCACATAAGATCTTTAACAATCATTTAAATGAATCCACATGAGAAGTTTAAAGGGAAAATGTCGCTTTAATTTGGGCTGCTAACAACTCATATTAGACATCTGAAGTGTAACAATGAGCACCAAACAGGCACTACATTTTTGTAAAAGCAATTCGTAACTACAACTGTCAACGTAGTGGAGTAAAAAGTTCCTTCTGAAATGTAGCAAGTGGAAGTATAAATTAGCATAAAGTTGAAACACTCGTAAAAGTCTTGTACCTCAAAATTGTACTTGAGGACTTTCCACTACGGCTGATCATTCTCTCTGCCTCTCTCTGATCCCTCACACCCTCATCCTGTCTCAGAATGCATTAAGTCCTACCACAGAAACTACGGGGACAACTTTGAGTACAGCGTCCCTGAAAATGGCTCCCTTCTGGAGTTTTCTCCCTGGGGTGCTCCACCTGAGGCCATGCCAGTTGTGCTGTGGAACCGGACGGACCCGGTGACCAACGACGTGGGCCGGGGGCGGCTGCTGCGGGGTGGGAAGATCTGGGTGGCCGAGAGAATCACACAAGCAGACCAAGGCAACTACACCGTGAGAGACGGCATGGGGAAGGTCGTGTCCCGCAACACCCTCACTGTCCGCGGTGAGCAGAGACGGTTTTAAGAGGCTGACTGATGAATTTCTTCAACTTTAGGATCCTGTCAACTGTAACATTTCTATTTTATCTTTCCCTTTCCGTCTGACACCCTCTTATACCTCGACATTTCCTTCATTCTACACTCCTTTCTTTGTGTTCATGATCCTGCATGTGAAAGCAGGACGCTCCTTCAATGTCACCCGCTTCACCAAGGAGTCTCTAAACCTGCCCCTCTTTCTTCCTGTCCATCATGCCCACCTCATTTTTACCCCCGCCCGATACCCTGACGAATCCTCCCTTGGCCCTTTTGACCCCAAGCCCCCCCGTGGCCCTGTGCAGCTGATCCGCGAGGGCCATATAACTGACCACGACATGCGCTACAGGGGCCTCATCTCTCTGGGCAGGAACGGCACCCTCAACGAGGTCGTCATAATGAGGTTGACCTCAAGGCATGATGGTTTGTATGAAATCAGAGATGGCGATGGAAACCTGGTATCCTCCACCTTGTTGCAGGTGATCGGTGAGTGAAAGTATGTGTTTAATGTTTGTGTTTTTTTGTATCTGAATTTTATGCTTCCTCACAGTCGCCATTCACTCTGATATCTGTCCCCCGTCTCTACTCGCTCCAGAAAGGGGAGGCAGATGGCGATCACTTCTCAAGTCCATCACGGTCCCTTCTGGCATGTTTGTGTCACTGGCTGGTTTTATCCTGTTCATGAAGCGATACCCGAACTGCAGTCTCTCGCAGATCATCACAGGCCTAAGATCAAACCGCACGCCACCAGCCAACCCTCCAATGGTCAACATCCAGGTGAGGAAATCAGGATGAACATGGCTAGTGGCCCTACTGGCTGAGATAGCTGTGCAGGTAGAATAATTAATATATGAGGTCTATACTTAGCTTCTTGTCCTGTTATCAAAGTAAATCTGGTCTTGGCTCACTTAAGTATTTAGTAGGTGTAGTGTTACATGAAGTATTTCCACACTCACTTTACTATTTGGAGAATTGGAGCTTTTAAATTTATATTTATTCAGAACTATTTAAGCTTCACATTTTGACATGTCAGTTTTTCTTTATGCAGTTTACCGCTGCTTTAAAAAAAAAAAAGCCCGCAAAATTGATCAATCAGTTCAAATAAAATTTAAAAATAAATAAATAAATAGGGGGAGGGGTGTATGCATGCAAATCGGGGTAGAAGAAGTAAAGTTGGTTTTAAGATAATTGGTAGTTTAAGAGAGCGTGGAACGGATTAAATAACCATATGGCATTAAAAGGGCCATTACAAGGCTCGATCTCTTTATAAATCTAGGCTTTTCGAGCTTTACTGCATATGTGATTTAATTCATTTCCACCCTTTTTGAATCCATATGTTGTGAGACACCTAATTGCAGCCATGGTAGAATTTCTAACAAGTAAACTCAAGCCTTTCCCTCTTTACCTTTTACAAGGTACAAGGTTATGCAAGGCTGCATAACATAATGAAATTTGTAGTTCCTTCATGCTACACACACAACATATAACTAAGTGTAGGTCTATATTAAAATATGCTAACAAATAAAACAATACAGTTATTTATATACATATATGCATACATATATACACCCCACAGTGCATTTTTTAAATATGCATCTGGGTTGAATGTAAACAGCAGCAACCAGATGATAATATAAAAGTTTCATCTTCACAATGAAAAGTCTGAAATTTGGGAAAAGTCTTTCATTAATTAACCTAAATGTGGCTCTCGCCTTATGTGGCTTTCTTTTTGCATAAAATGCTGAGGTTAATTAAAACTGAATGGTTTGATGAGTATGAAATAAAGGTCATCGTCACCAGATCTCAACCCAATTCAACACCTATGGGAGATTTTTGGATTATGTGTAAGATAACGCTCTACACCATCATAAAAAACTTTTGAAAGAATGCTGAAAGAATGCTGGCCATCCCATCCAGTAGAGAGCGACAACACGAGGAGATCGATGACAAGGAGCATTGAAACTGTTCCAACTGTTCTTGTGGCTCATGGTGGCCCATCTCCTTACTAAGTCACTGTTCTTTTTTTCTTAATTTATCACATATACGTATATAATATGTAAATGCTCCGTACTTGTATAGTGCCTTTCTAGTCTTTTCGACCACTCACCTACATGTGCAGTCACACACATTCATACACTGAGCCTAAGTGCTCAAACGGAAACTAACATTCACACTCATTCATATTCGGGGTTCAGTATCTTGCCCAAGGACACTTCGACACGCAACTAGGGGGAGCCAGGGATTGAACCGCCGACCTTCCGATTAATTGCCAACCCGCTCTACCTCCTGAGCCACAGCCGCCCCAATACATCAATATGATGTGATTTGATTAAAAAGTTTAGGTACCATGCCAAACCATAAAACTTAAAAAACCCAAAGCGTGTAAATTAGTTTCTCTATAATTATGTATCTTATCAGTTGTGAGGTATTCTACAATTGTGTTACTGCGGCTGCACTGAGTTTTATGTGTTGATGTGTGTTTGTCTGTGCAGGACTACAGCCAGCCCAGCCCCCAGCCCTCAGGCCTCTACAATCACTCTCAGCAGCCTGGAACACCAAGGAAATGGACCCCAAGAGCCAGTCCTACTCATACTGTAAGGCTGATTGACTGAATTAAATGTAGCAGGTTTTGTCCCTTTGCTTAAAATTGATAAATAGCATTGTGTCTGTGTGTGCTGTGTGCTTGTGTGCTGTCGTTTGTATTTCCAGGGTTACAGTCCTATTATTGTAGGAACTCCGAGAGCTCAGAACCAGGAAGCACACAGATTGGCAGCTGGGAACTCCCCTAGTCATAATTCAGCTACTGAGGTAATATAGTAGTATTATAGTGTAGGTGAGAATTTGCATATCACAGACTGAAATATTCTTTAAACAAATGTTTTCATTCCTTTCTAGAGAAACACATTTCATGAGGATGAGAAAAGGATTTCCTTTTCAGTGCCTGGGGCTTCAGACTGCCTCCACTCCTCTGAGGACTGTGTCCAATTTCAGATCAAGAAAGATCGCGACAAAGAAAGGTGGAGCGAATCACAAGAATACTTTTCCACACTGCCACTAGACACGGACACCTCTGAATCCTGCAGTGTTTACACCTCAGAGAAACTGAACTTCTTATAAAACGGAGAATTGGAGCAAAAAATGATGGAAGAAGAAACGTAAGGCATGGAGAGCCCACAGTATACGTTTCTCAGTTGGAGTGAAGCGGTTGTGGAAGGGAAAGACCTCGCCTGTGCCTTTTGCATCTGAGTTTTAATGGTTTGGTATCAACATTGCATGTCATTTTTCTGAAGCATAAGTTGAGCATTAGCCTTCCTGTCTCATATTACGTATTTCTTGACACTGTTGATGGTGCTCCTGAAATCTCCTGCTGTTACCTACCTCCAGACCCTCAGGACCAATGTGAACAGCACTGTATTTGCTGAGTGATAATATGTGTATGTTTGTGAGAGTAATGTGACCACTAGGACGACATAGAAATTAGCGTGGTGATACAAACGTTTGCAACAATTTTAAGTACTGTACACTAATAGAGAGTTAGTTGACATGTTTTTCTCCATCCATCATGTTAACCATTCCTAACTGCAACAACATTTAATTATTATGTTAAATGTCTGTTCTACAGTTAAGTGTTTTCTGCAATTAAATAGTATATTTACCCTTGAGGTAATTGTAGTACAGTTATAGTAATGTGAAATGTAACATGTTCCACCAAATATTGCAATAGCATATTAATCTGTAAACTTTATGTACAGGATAATATTTTATCACCAAATCGTTCTAGTGGACTGCTGCTTCTGATATTTTTTGATTATCAAAATATAATCTCTCAAACAATAAAATGTATATTTAACACACATTTTAGATGAGTTTCTCCACTATAGTGTATGTTTAGCTGTAACAATTCTGCAACAATTATTTTCATTATCAGTCATTCTGTGAATTTCTTTTTTTGGAATATTTGTAGATCTAAATAAAATGTCAAGGAAATGGCCATCACAAGTTCTCAAAGCTTAAGGTTACATGTTAAAATTGCTTATTTGTCCGAATGACAGTCAAAAACCCCACAGATGTTTCAAATTATTTTAGTTTTCAACTTATTTTGAGAAGCCGTCAACAGAGAATACATGTATATATTTTTTTCCCTTGATAAATGACTTAAACGATTTACCAACTGTCAAAATTGTTGTCAAATTTCTGCCTATCGACTCATTATTTCAGCACTAGTTTTTGGTACATTGATAAATGCAGTGGTGTTTTTTCAGCAGTAGATGGAATTTAATTATTATGTTAAATTCTAGTTCTACAGTTTAATGTTTTTGCAATTAAATACCATATTTATGCTTGTTTATGCAAATACTGCAATATTAATTTGTAAACTTTGTGTACAGGATGGCAAAAGAGACTGCTGTTTTTGATATTTTTTGATGATCAAAACTGTAATCTCTAAAACAATAAAATGTGTCTTTAACACACATTTTAGATGATAGTTAAAGATACTTCAGTGTGGCTGTAACTAACAATTATTTTCATTATCAAACTGTGTAATTTTTTAAAAGGAATATTTGTATATAAAATGTCAGGGAAATGATCATCACAAGTTCCCAAAGCTTAAGGTTACCGTACTTAATATCGCTTATTTGTCCGCACGACAGTCAAAAACCACTTAGATAATTCAAATTATTTTGAGAAGCTGTAAACAGAGAAAACATGTATATATTTTTTTCCTTTGGTAAATGACTTAAACAAATTAACCAACTGTAAAAGTTGTTGTCATATTTCTGTCTATGGACTCATCACTTCAGCAGTGAAGTTTTTGGTGCATCGATGAGCGCAATGGTGTTTTTCTGGCGGTAGATGGCAGTGCGGCACCCGTGAGACGGTTTCTGGAAGAAAGTGTAGAAGAAGACAAAGCTCCGTTTGTAGCGGCAATGAAAGGACAGCGTGCTACTTACAATTTGAGCAAAACATAAGTACAAGTGTACATCAGCTGCAATAACTATCAAAGTACAGGAAGAGCATAATTCCATTTTCAGAAAAGCCTATAAGGACTGCACCAGCAAGATGTCTTTGGTTTGTGCAAGTAAGTGAAGTTGGATTCATTCAAATGATGGAGGTTAGCTGGGCACCGCGCTAATGCTACTAGCTCTTTAGCTAACGCTAGCGGCCACGCAGTGCCGCCTTCTACTAATAGGTAGTTCATCGGGCTAGTTTGTGGTTGTTTCATTGTTGGTATTGTGTGTTTTTTTAAAAAAAAGATGTATTTTTTTTACCAGTCTCCAACGAGGTGCCTGAGCACCCGTGCGTCTCTCCGGTGTCCAACCAGGTGTTTGAGCGCAGGCTGATCGAGAAATACATCGCAGAGAATGGGACGGATCCGATGAACGGACAGCCCTTGTCTGAGGAACAGCTCGTAGATATCAAAGGTGAGCTTCAGGCAGCAGATGGAGATATATACACTCACTTACCAGTTTATAAGTCAACATTACACCTCAAGCTAAAACCAACGCAGTTTAATACAACAGGCCTGTAATAAATCCTCATTCAGTTTTTGTTGAAGCTGACGTGTTGATTCACTGCATGGTGTTACACTGCATTGCATTTACACTGAGATGTGTTTTTAACATTGTGTCCACCCTATTTATGATCACTGAGGATATATAACAGAAAATGACTCAGTATAACACAGTACTGGTCAGCTGCCACCTCAGAAATGAATGACTTCCTAAAACAGTTAATACACATTATAACCTTCATGAGAGGATGATTAGTTGCAGGGTTTTGTATGAAACTGCTTCAGTTGTAGTGTAGGTGTACCTGATAAAGTGCTGATTAAAGTTAATTGCTTAATTGACAGTGTTTCAGCAGTAGAAATGTTAATATCAGATGATCCCTTGTGGGATTAAATAAAGTATATCTTCTTCAAATATAAATCCTACATAGTAGAGTTCTATTTTTCTTGCCCCTCATATCCTGCAGAGTGTTATTACTATTGCTTGTTCTGAACAACTTTTCTCTGTTTTAGTATCCCATCCCATTAGACCAAAGGCACCATCGGCTACAAGCATTCCTGCCATTCTCAAGTCTCTTCAAGATGAGTGGGTAAGTGTTGTCACCTTGAGGAGGTGGTAAAGGGGAAATTCACACCAAAACACCATCATACTATTAAAGTAACCCAAAATTATAATCAGTTTGGAATTAACAGGTGACTTTTTTTCTAGACCATCTGTCACTACTACACTTGTGTATGTACCAATCTTTTGAATGACTGTTACTTTAGTAGACCAAAATACAATATGTACGACTGTCTTGACTGAAAAAATATTACATTGTACCGTTGCTCTTTTTCCACCTGACTTGTAAAATGCACCCCACACCCACTTCCTTATTAAAATATCAATGTTAGACAGTGAGAAGAGTTCCTTCATCCTGTTTTCTGTTCTAGGATGCCGTTATGCTTCATAGTTTCACCCTGCGGCAACAGCTGCAGACTACTCGCCAAGAGCTGTCACACGCCCTCTACCAACACGATGCCGCCTGCAGAGTCATCGCTCGACTCACCAAAGAGGTCACTGCTGCAAGAGAAGGTGGGTTGGCTACAGTTTGTGTGTCCTCTATTGAAAGGCGTATTTCCAGTTCTAAAGCACATAGAACGGCTTTTATACAACCATCAGCTCTCTCCAGAATCGGTTCTGCGCCAACATATTGTGAGAGCAAATTTTTCTGATTAGCTCCGATTCCTTTTTACAGCTCTTGCCACACTCAAACCCCAAGCTGGACTGGTTGCACCTCAGGCAGTACCCGCCTCTCAGCCAGCTGCAGCAGTGAGTGATTGACTTTTATTATTTGGGCCAATAAGATGCTCATCACAATCTTTTGCCGTACTTCCTCCTAACAATCTCTGTTTCTTTCTTCTGTCCCTCAGGGTGCTGGTGGAGAGCCCATGGAGATCAGTGAGCAAGTGGGAATGACCCCAGAGATCATCCAGAAGGTACGATATTTTGTCTTTTACCCACATTAATCATTATTTGGTTATACTTTTCATTTTATTCAGCAAGTTTAAGATGTATTTCCTTTTGCTTTTTTTCTGTTTGCAGCTCCAAGACAAAGCTACTATCCTTACTACGGAAAGAAAGAAGGTATTATGTTGTTCTTTTAATAACACATATCATGCCTTTTTCTGCTGTAATAGCTCAGTTTTGTGTAAACACTTGTCATAAGTCAGTAACCGTTGTTGTACTATGTAATATACTGTCACACCCCTTGAACTGCTTTACTATATTTCTCCAGAGAGGAAAAACTGTCCCAGAGGAGCTGGTTAGAGCCGAGGATCTTAGCAAATACCGCCAAGTGGCCTCGCATGCTGTGAGTATATATTTCTGTTCAAGTATACATATCATTTCCCTTTTAATCAGAAAGCTGAAACCGTGTCTTAATGTGCTTGATGTTTATTGTCAACACGCTCTCTTTGTTGCCTTCAGGGACTTCATAGTGCCAGTGTCCCTGGTATTCTGGCTCTGGATCTGTGTCCCTCAGACACCAACAAAGTTCTCACCGGTACATTCATTTCATCCAAGGCTGAGCTGCAATCTTTCAGTTTTTAAAAGTTTTTGTGATTTGTTGACACACAAGTTATTTGATATCGACCCCCTCGTTTTCTTCAGGTGGAGCTGATAAGAACGTGGTGGTGTTTGACAAGAACGAGGAGCAGATTGTTGCAACACTTAAGGGTCACACCAAGAAGGTCACCTCTGTCATTTACCATCCATCCCAGGTAACGCTGTCTTTTCTTTGTTTGAAATCAAAGTTTTAATCCTCTGACTTCAGAAAGAAAAGTGTTTTGAATTATTCAGAGACATGTACAATCTGTTATTCTTACTCATTTTTGCTCTGTTTTTTGTTTATTTACTAATCCCTGGCACCCTTGCTGTCCTTCCCCCTCTAGTCCGTGGTCTTCTCTGCATCTCCTGACAGCACCATCCGTGTGTGTGGTCCGTTGCCGGAGGCAACTGTGTCCAGGTGGTGCGTGCCCACGAGGGAGGTGTGACTGGACTCTCCCTACATGCTACTGGGGACTACCTGCTCAGCTCCTCTGAGGATCAGGTGTGTGTGCGGCTTGACACGACAAAAAACACAGACTTCGTGCTATAGTCAACACTGAAGTATACGTTATGAGCACCACACTTAACGTATTTCCAATTTATTTCCTCACTGTTCTGCAGTACTGGGCCTTTTCTGATATCCAGACTGGTAGAGTCCTCACCAAAGTTACTGATGAAAGTGCCGGCTGTGGTAAGTGACTCTATGTTGTGTGTTTAGCAAATTGAATAAGTGTCGTGCTGTTCCAGGGTGTAATGTTTCTGCCTGCCCCCTACAGCTCTCACCTGCGCTCAGTTCCACCCTGATGGTCTCATTTTTGGCACTGGCACGGCTGATTCCCAAATCAAGATCTGGGATCTGAAGGAGCGTACCAATGTGGCCAACTTCCCAGGCCACTCTGGCCCTGTCACCTCCATTGCTTTCTCTGAGAACGGATACTATCTGGCCACAGGTTAGGACTATATAAGAGCATTTTTACATCAGGCAAGAATGTTGGGAATATGGAAAAATTGTGCACACCTGTAACACTAACCTGTACACTGACCTGCAATATCTTAAACTCCAACTAGCATCTTCAGCCCTTGTTTTTGCTCTAAAGGGATCTGGCACTGTATATTTAATTGTTTATTGCTCCAGGTGCCCAGGATAGCTCTCTGAAACTGTGGGATCTGAGGAAACTGAAGAACTTCAAGACCATCACCCTGGACAACAACTATGAGGTATGAAATTGCAGTTATTTCTCCTATGAAAGTAATAGTTGCCCAGAGTTAAATGGAAAGATCATGTTAATGTCTGTAAACTAAATATGAAGCTAGAGCTAGGAGGGAGTTAGCTTAGCAGAAAGACAAGAAGCTATTTCTTGGCTGGGTTTACAGCAAGTGAAACCTCAATTTGGTGCCTTTACATTTTCTGTTTGTATGTAAACAAACAAGATACACACATTGTAATTACTAAAATATGAGGCACCTCCTGCCTCTAGCTTCACATTTACCATACAGACATGAAATTGGTATTGATCTTGAGAGTGAACTCATCAAGAAAGTGGATTAAAAAGTGGATAAATGCATTTCATGTGATATCATTACTAAGATAGCTTAAAGTGAGGGTCTGATAAGTGATGCAGCAGAATGTTATCGGGAATTCACATCCTTTGGGGATTTAACTGCATCACCGAGCTTGTGAGGAATAATCATGCATATCTTTACTTGGGTTGAGCGAGTTTTTAGGAGAATCGCAGAGACGTGTTAACAAACTTCACACAACCTCATTGATTAGCAGATCCACGCTTTGTGAAAAAACAAAGGAATCTATGGCTTTGCTGATTGGACGAATTACATCACATGGCTCTTCCTTGAGTGACTTATTGTAAACAATGCAACAGCTTCAAAGTAAACTCCGGTTGTAATCACCATTTTGAGCATAGTCTATAGTCTACAGGGCACTTCAAAATTGAGCAAAAAGATAGCAGTTTAGATTGCAGACCATGATTGTGATTAAGTATTTTTTGGCCATATCGCCGGCCCCTATTGTTTACACACATTTGTGTTTGATCTGTGTTCTTGTCTTGGCTGCTGTTCCTCTGTCCTCCATATACTCACACCTCTGTGCTTCCAAATCGCATTTTCTTTTCTTTTTTCTGTTTCAGGTGAAGTCCCTTGTGTTTGACCAGAGTGGTACCTATCTGGCTGTAGGAGGGTCTGACATCCGCGTCTACATCTGCAAGCAGTGGTCTGAGGTCCTCAACTTCACAGGTGAGGGGGAGGATACCAATCTCTTAAATGTTCATTCAGTATGCATTCATATGGTGTTTGCTCTGAGGAAGTAGCAAACTATTCACCCTTCTGACTCCCTTTTTAATTGTAGACCATACAGGATTGGTGACAGGAGTGGCCTTTGGAGAGAACGCTCAGTTCCTGACCTCTGCAGGAATGGACAGAAGTCTCAAATTTTACAGTTTGTAGAAAAGGATAAATTCAGGATGAAGCGAGGAGGACAACTGAGAGGAGGATTGAGTGGTTTCTGTGGTCTGAGTCACTCTCCTGGACACGGACTTGGCATAGACCTGTAATTTTTAGAAACAGACAGGAAAAAAATCACTGCTAACTTTGCTTTATTAGTGTGTTTGTCCTCATGTCCAGGAATGAGATCCCATCGTCTGCGATATGAAACCACAGCAGCATGGTTAGGATGTTTGTTGGCATTTTATGTGTGAAATGTAAATGGTGTGAAAGGAGATACAGAAGCCAGTGTAATATTCCTGTCTGATTTGCCAGCAAATATGATTTTACTGTAGGTTTTTTCTTTTCTTTTTTTTGTTTTTCTATTGTGTGTGGGGTCTAAAGTTGCTTGTAATCTAACTCCAAAGTGTTGTAGTACACTGTTGGGAGCTATAATTGGTGTGACAACAATCTGCTTTGCTTCTTAATGTAGACCAGCTTCATTACAGTATCTTTAGGGTAAGATTAAAAAATACTTCTGTAGTGACGTACAGTACATCTAAGCAAAAAATGAACAAACGTATGAGATTAATGTTCCTCTGAAAGATTTAGTCCTGTTTAAACTCCTTCAATTTCATTTTCTGTTTTATTTTTACCATTACATTACTTTTTCCAATTGTATATTTCTAATTACGTACCTGTTGCAACTCTGCCCTTTTACAATAAAATAAAATATCTTTTGTATTGCCACTCATCCATTTGTCAGATCAACAACATGGGTACTGTTGGGTCAACTGCAGCTATTCATTATTTCACTTTGACTTAATTTACAGACACAAGCCAAACAAATCTTAAGTTATTCAGTAAGTGCATGTTAGCCGAAAGCATTGTATTTTTCTGTGGTAAATTTGAACTAAAAGTGGTTGAGCCTTACTACACTCCAAGCTTTGTTTTGCGTATTGCTACTCTGATGTTTGAGCTTCATTGTGCAGTGTGATTGTGTGCAGAATGAGGATGACTAGTTTAAGATGAAAATTTCTGTGCTCACGTTAGATTTGCAAGCTCATTGAATGGCACTAAAATACAAGAGAAGAAAAGGGCAATTGGCAAACACGTGGTTTAGTAAATGTATAATAGCTATAAACCATACAGCATGCACCCCTGAATTTGCCAAAGCTCATCTAACAGTGCACTACGGCCCTTAGCAGTCCTCTTAACTGAGTGAGTCCGGTGTGGGAACCGGAACCGGTTCCGCAGCTTCCAAGTGAACCGAACTCAGCCTTCGAGATCGACGGAAGCGAGCTTGACGACAAGGAGTAACGTTACATCACCGAGGTGATTTACAGCGGCTCCAGCCAGGACGACGAACCAGGAACACAGGCGGGGTACAGGAGAGGTGTCCAGCGGGAGAGGTCGGGTTATGTTTATTTATGAGGCCCCAAGAGGCTAAAAGAGCTTGTGTAACCGGCGAACTCGCCGGTTCTCATAACTGTACCAGTAACGTTTGTATTTTAGGATGATACATTTGATGACGAGTGGAAAACGATACTTTTTGATGTATAGGCTACCTGAGCATCTCTGACAACGTGGACATGTGGGAGCCATCACGTCTTCAGTTATGAATCCTTCAAAAGATAATTGCATTTCCTCTGTGGAAAAAAAACACATATCGCATACAGACTGTCTTCTGCCCTGAAGTGGATCTTTAATATTACCAGGACCATGGTCCAACCCAGGAAACACATTTTAGGAGATAATGAAAGTCATGCCACTCATTTAATTATGGCTTCGCTTAGCTGTTTAGCAAACCAACGACTCACACATGATATCTATTAACTACGCGTGAAAGAATAATAAACCTTAACATTTCGCTAACGTTGAAGTCTATCGTCTCATCCAAATCCATCAAAGTTTACGCCATTTAAGTAACTGAACATCTCGACCTCTCGTGGCCAAACGACGGATGGACGCCAACTATCACGTGAGTTTGCAGTAACGTGACTTTTACAAACAGGAAGTCTGTCTCGAGCCCCGAAACTTAATCATAAACCATAAACGCGTCTGGATTGTCCCAGTTTACAGTCACCGGTCTGGCCGTCGGGAACGTACGGCCCTGGACGCACACAGGTGAGATATGTAACGTTAGTATTTAAGCGTAATTTTTTGCTCATGTAAGGCAGATTTCTACCTCTATCCACCGATTGAGGACTGCTATTGTCAAGACAAATGAAAAGCTTGCTCTACCGTTGTTTTCCTTCACGAAATGTCCCTCATCAGTCAAGAGAAGCCTTCGACTAATGTTTTTAACGCTACGACTTTTGTGTCATGATGATCTTTCAGTCTCGTCTCATGGGCATGGTGTGCCACTAAAAACGAAACTTTACTAGGCGGGGGAAAAAAAGACATAAGGGGGTGAAACCGCTGGGATTATTATTCGTTTAAGTAAATGCAAAACTTCCTTTTTTGAACATGGTTTTTTTTGTATACTTTCATTCATGTGTTTGAAGTTATAGGTGGTGTTTATTTAAGTAAACCTTCATACATGTTATTACTTAATACATACACACAGCTGTCAGTTTATAGGCACACCCATGACTGTTATATGAATAGTGGATTTATGTTGAAGCGTTGATTCAACTTCACGGTGAGTTTGGAGGCTGCAGTTTTTGGTGCTGCTGTGGAATTTTCTCCAGCCCATTTATATTAATGAGGTTAGTCTAAATATAACCCAATACAGCTCACAAGCACCACAAACCACTGCCTCCAAAATGACCACACGATTTTATGAACACTTATCTACAAGTAGCATGTAACATCACATTCATAAAGGTATGATTTATTGCAGAGCTCTCTCAGCAGAGTGGTTTGTTTTAGCGAGGTGGATATAACTGACTGCAACTGACTGTAGAGCTGCAACAATTAAGCAAATAATCCAATAGTTGTAATCGATTAAATTAATGGCCTACTATTTTGATAGTAAATCTAATTATTTTCTGGTGTCTTCAGTCTTTGTCAGTAAACTGAATACCTTTGGACAAAACAAGACATTTGAGGATGTCATCTTGGGCTTTGATAAAAGCTAATCGACATATTTCACAATTTTCTGACATTTTATAGACCAAAGAACTCATCGATTAATCGAGAAGATAATTGACAGCTAAAATAATTAGTTAGTTTCATCCCTAACATATACAGCCTGTAGGGGAATTTTACTCACAACTGGGGAAGAAAAACTAATCTGTGCGCTTGTAATATAGACAAAGACATGCCTGTGCAAGAATGGAAACCCCATCTGCTCATCACAGCCAGGAGGAGTTGACACTTCTCTTTTCTTTAGCTTCCACTCATAAGCTTCTGCTTTGTCCCTGAGAGGCTTTTATTGTTCTAATGTAAAACAGATTCCTTGAGAACTCGCCTATAAACTGCTACTTTTTTTTTTTTTTTTGAGTATATTATTCATTTGCATTTGTCTCCTTGGTGCAGCTATGGGCTCCATGTTTCGCAGTGAGGAGGTGTGCCTGGTGCAGCTCTTCCTTCAGTCCGGCTCGGCCTACAATTGTGTCAGTGAGCTGGGAGAGCAGGGCCTGGTTGAGTTCAGAGACGTGAGTAACTATTGATTTAGCTCTTGGTTCATGATTTCGTGGTGAAAAGCTCAGGGTCCAGTACAAACGGAGGCCCATTACCCTCCTAAACTAGTCTGCTGCTCTTTTGGCCAGAATGCTTTTCCCTGTGCAGCCAGTTTGACCACATTTATGCCTTCTTTACCTGCAAAATTTGGATTGATTTCAACCCTGTTTTTATGTGTCATATTACCAACCTCTGCACAGTAATTGATCTGTTTACAGTGAATATGATTTGGTACTAATTGAAACCTCTGCAGCATTTTTAAATCTGCGCCTTGATGAGATGGTGAACTGATGGTTGCTTTGAGTCACGTCTCATCAGACAAACATGAGTAAACCTGTTGCCCTCTTCCTCTCCCCTCTGCTGTTTTAGTTAAATCCTAACGTGAACTCCTTTCAGAGGAAGTTTGTCAGCGAGGTCAGGCGATGCGAGGAACTTGAGAAAACCTTTTGTAAGTGTTGACTCATTGTTTCCCTATTTTATTTATTAGTTTTGTTCCAAATCTCCTTTTGCCCCTTTCTGACCTTCTCTATCTGCCCTCCAGCCTTCCTGGAGCAGGAGATCAATCGCTCCATGTCTCCACCCTTGCAGGGTCCCCTCCCTCCTCCATGCCCGATGCCTCTCGCCCCTCAGCCCCGTGAACTCATCACCATAGAGGAGGAGTGCGAAAGGCTGGCCAGAGAGCTCAAAGAGGTGGGCACTAAAAACAAGGCTGAGATGCTAAATCAAAGAATAGCCTCTGTTGTCTCATTAATACACCATCTAAGCAGGTTGAACTTATTTGGCTTAGACAGATGTTTTATTTTTTTTTCTTCATTTGCGCTTGTCTCACTAGGTGTCCAGGAACAGAGACAGCCTCCGGGCTCAGCTGACCCAGCTCTGTCAGTACCGAGGAGTCCTGACCAGGACGCACTCTCTCACAGCCTCACAGGTGGTACATTTCTGCAAAAATACTGCATCATTTATTACCTTTCATCGTTGAGCTGTAGTGAACAAACTGATTTCTGAAAACTAAAAGAAATGTCTTCTCCCTTGGCTCCTTCTCACAGGCACCGCCACCTGTACTGGAAAGCCAAGGCCTGTTTGATGTCCGCCAAGATGTCCACCTCAGGTTGGCCTCATTTTCTAGAATGTCCATTCATGTGTTTTATGTTTTTGTTTACATTAAACACGTGTTCCACTGCATCCCCTCTCTCAGTTTTGTGGCAGGAGTTGTCCATCCTTGGAAGGTCCCTTCATTTGAACGGTTGTTATGGCGGGCGTGTCGCGGTTATATCATCGTGGATTTTAGAGAAATGGAGGATCGGCTTAAGCATCCGGACACGGTGGGAACTAGGAGACAGCAAGAGGGGATGGTTATGAGATACATGCGTTATTCCTGTTGCAGGATTAGTCTCTGATTTGTTACGTTAGATTTTTCATTACGGGTATTTTATCACAGCTGTTTCTCCGTTTGCAGGGGGAAATGGTGCAATGGACAGTGTTCCTCATTTCCTATTGGGGCGATCAGATTGGACAGAAAGTCAAGAAGATATGTGATTGGTGGGTGAACCTGTGCATCAGTTTGCAAATCGGAGATTTCCACACTGTAGCACCCGTTGAACCTGTTGAGTAGCTTTTGATTTTCCCTCCTCACAGCTTCCGCACACAGACATTTGCATACCCTGAGAGCACTGCTGAGAGAGAGGATATTCTCCAGGGACTTCAAGGCAGAATTGAAGATATTAAATCCGTAAGTATAGGGCATGTTTATAAAAGCACAGAATATTGATACAATCCCCAGGATTTACCCTCCCTTTTGAAATGCCTGTATCACTCTTGAAATTACTAGCAAGCACAAAAATAGCAGTAATGTGGGTTTTCAAAATCTATTCAAAGAACATTTTTTTCCGGTGTAGTCCTTCTAAAATATCCATTCTCACTTCCTCTCTACTTCAGGTGTTGTCACAGACCGAGGCCTTCCTGCAGCAGCTGCTGATGCGGGCGGTGGCTGTGCTGCCCCAGTGGAAAGTGCGGGTGCAGAAGTGTAAGGCAGTCCAGATGGTGTTGAATCTCTGCAGCCCCTCCGTCACTGACAAATGCCTGATCGCTGAGGCCTGGTGTCCCACTGCCAAGCTGCCGGAACTGCAA